GCACGAAGCAAATTTGCAGTAATGCAAAGCATGGCTGTATGCATACAGTGCAGCCTTTGTGTTCCATAGTATAGAATAGAGGGAATGGACGACGAGGGTATCGATCCCTCTACCTCTAGCATGCTAAGCGAGCGCTCTACCATTTGAGCTAGACGCCCTTGTGGTGTCACTCCACCGCTGCGGCACGAAGCAAATTTGCAGTAATGCAAAGCATCCGACATACGTATGTCTGCAGCCTTTGTTTTGTATAGCATAGAGGGTAGGGAATGGTCGACGAGGGTATCGATCCCTCTACCTCTCGCATGCTAAGCGAGCGCTCTACCATTTGAGCTAGACGCCCATGTTAGGTCACTGCACTACTGGGGAAGGGCCAGGACGCTCAGTAATGCAACGGATGGCTGGTTATCGATCCCCCTACCTCTCGCATGCTACGCCAGGGCTTCACATGCGAGAGGTAGAGGGATCGATGCCCTGGTCGTCCACTCCTTCCCCCTTTGTTCCTAGAAGTGAAGGCTGCATTCTATGCATACAGCCATTCTTTGCATTGCTGCGTGTCCTCACCTTGGCGTATCAGGTCGGGTTACCTAACATGGGCGTCTAACTCAAATGGTAGGTCGCTCGCTTAGCATGCGAGAGGTAGAGGGACCGATACCCTCGTCGTCCATTCCTTACCCTCTATGCTATGGAAAATAAAGGCTGCACTGTATGCATACAGCCATTCTTTGCATTACTGCAAATTTGCTTCGTGCCGCAGCTGTGGGTTGACCCCACAAGGGCGTCCAACTCAAATGGTAGAGCGCTCGCTTAGCATGCGAGAGGTAGAGGGATCGATACCATCGTCGTCCAAGCACTTTTCCCCTTTCTTTTCTCTGTTTGTTGCCGGCCGAAAGCTTTGTTATCTCCAAGACGATGTGCAGCAGCAGAACCGATTACAGGAGCAACTGTCGCACCTATTGGTTCAGAAGGTACAGCAACAATTGAACCATTGGTTCAGCACGTACAGCTGCATTTTGCAGGAGGATTTTTAAGCCGCAATTGCTGTAGCATTGCAGCAGGTGCACGAGCAGCAGCAGGTACAGCAGTTGTTGCAGGAGGAAGTGCAGCAGGAGCGTTCAATCATAGAGTCTGGAGCTACGCCTAAAATCGGAGGCATGCATTGCGTCTTGTATCATCCACTAATGTTTATGGAGACGTCTTTTAGTGCTTGTGTACATCAGCTCATATATATTATATATATAACTTCATATATACCATACGTACATATACCATATGTACGTATAAAATTATATATTTTTGATGTATAAGCTGATATATGCAAGCAGTATAACAGTCCGCCACCAGCATTCGTGGGAAACACTCATGGAACAAAGGCCCCAGTAGTAAGAAGGGTAAAAGGAGCAAAGCATCCTAATGCAAATATTACCCTCTTCTTATTACAGTCAACATCACTTCAACGCTAACAATAGATTTTATAGAAACTTAGAGAGCAATCGAGACAACCCCGATACGTGCAACAGCAGCACGAGCAACAGCAGCACCCAGGGGTGTTCTCAGATGCGCAATGATCACTAATTCCGGTTTATAGTTATTTGAATAAGGAATAAAGGCACGAGAAAAATAAAAGGCCACAAAGTTGAACTTACAAAGGACCCGCCTAGGTCCCCACAACCTGCTGGTGGTGTCTGCACAGGACCAGTTGGGCGAGCATAGTTAAATCGAGGCACTGACATGAACTTTATCATTTTAATTTATTAAAATAATTAAATATAAATTAAAAAAATAAATATGGAAGCATTTGCTGCAGCCGAACTCTCCAGTTTGCTGCGCCGACAGGCCAGTGGCAGCAACGGCAGCAGCGGATCGGGGCCACAGTGGTTAACCAGCCTTCGCATGCACACAGCAGTAGATGCTCTTTTCTCCCCTTCTTTTCCCGTCTTCCTTTGAAATAATACATTATTCTTCTTATTATCCAAAATATACCCCCGTAGACGTACTGACCGCTTGCCAATCCATCGCCCACTCCGCAACCGCAGCAGCAGCAGGAGCAGGAACAGCATCATTCGTAGCAGTAACAGACAGGTTTTCACCAGACCCACAGCATTCTAGTAGGCAGTATGACAATACCAATGCAGTATTGGTACACTCGAGGCTGTCTTCTGCTTCTTTAGCGACATGGTATACCAGCACACACCCTCAGATCCTCCGGTGGTCTGCGGCTGCAGTCATCTTCTCTTTGCAGCCCGAGCAACAAATTCGCAACAGCAACAGCAGCAGAAACAGGGGCAGCTGTCAAAATGACTGAAACAACTGCACCAACGTATGTAATCGTCTCCTAGAACAGCACCCTGCAAGCTGAAGAATATACGCCCGGCTGGGTGCCGTAGAACGAGCAACAGCAGCAGCAGTAGAGAAGGAACAGCAGCAACAGCAGCAGCATCGGCGGCGGCAGCAGCAGGCTGTGCAAAACTACTTCATCTATATCGGGGAAGCTCTAATAAACACGAAGATGCCTCGGGACCTGCTGCCTCCTGAGGACACTGCAGCAGCAGCTGCTGCAGCTCTCCGCAGCAGTCCCTGGGCGCCCTCCACCCAACCTGCTGCTTCGCAGCATCACCAACAGCAGCAACAACTGCTGCAGCAGCAACAGCAGGACCAACAGTTGGTGCTGCCGCTGCGGCGGGTCCCCTTGACAGTGCGCGCCCTCCGTTGGTGGTATGAGCTGCCTCTTTGCTGCTGTTGCTGCGGCCATCGTGACGGGCAGCAGCAGCAGCAGTACCGAGGCAGATTCACGCCTCCATACAGTGGGTTGAGGCGAGCAGCAGAGACCCTTTTCTTGGTGCTCGTCTGCTGCAGCCTTTTTGCTGCTGCTCTTGTTGCTTGCTGCTGGGAAGGGGAGTATTCATTAATACAGCGTTATGTCTTTGAGGAGACAGACTTCGCCTTGAGTGTGGGGCCGGGTTTGCTGTTGCTGCTGCTGGTGGGGGGAGCGTTGCATGCGTTAATGCTGCTGTACGCCAGGACGCAGCTGCAGCAGCAAGGAGCCGAGCCTCGCCTTGGATCGCTGCACTGGTTGCTTCTGGGTGGAGAGTTTACTGCTGCTGCTGCTGCTGCAGTAGCTGTCTATAAGGTGTCTCCGCAGCACTTCTTTGGCGTCCGCTTCTGGCTGCAGCTGCACCTGCCGCTGCTGCATGCTGTTGCTGTTCCTGTTGCTTCTGTAGCTTTTTGCTACGTCATTAAAGAAGCAGCAGCTTCCTTTTCTCCTGTTGCTGCTGATACGGATGTCCTAGCTGCTGCTGCTCATGGGGTCCCTCTGTTGTTGTGTGAACCATCGCTGGGTCCGGACAGCAGCAGCAGCAGCAGCAGCAGCTCGCCACGTGCTGCACCAGCAAACGACTTGATGATGCCCACCTATTCCTTTTCCTCGCAGCGGCTGCAGGCCCCTGTGCCCACTGGCGGCTACCACAGCGGCATGAGCAGCAGAAGCAGCCGCAGCGCCAACAGCATTAATGGCATTAGCAGTGGCAGTAGTAGTAGTAGCAGCAGCAGCAGGTATAGGCAACCAAGCACCTGTCCCCTAAAGTATCTCCGCTTCTGGTTTGTAGTTTCTATTGCTGGTGCTCTGTGGTTGCTGCTGCTGCTGTCTCCTTTTCTAGGTAAGGGGGGCTTTGGCTCTCCTTGTATATTCAGGCAGCAACCGCAGCAGCAAGGGGGCCTAACACAACTCTACAGCAGCAGCGGCAGCAGCAGCGGCAGCAGGGACAAGGGCAACCGCTGCAGTAGCAGTAGCAGCAGCAGTAGCAGCAAAGACAGTATGCCTCAGGAGCCACACCACAAGGGGCACCAGAAGGGGAAGAAAGCAACACCTGAGAGCAGTAGCAGCAGCAGCAGCGGCACTAGCAGCAGCAGCGGCACTAGCAGCAGCAGCGGCAGCAGCAGGGAGGGAGGATTTGATGGTAGCATACAGGGAGACACCAGCTTCATGGTTACCAGCAGAAGGCTCAATCAAGGAGACACAGAGAGCCCCTTAGCATTCGGTGATGGTGCAACAGTTGCTGCTGCTGCTGCTTCAGATGCAGTTGCTGCTGCTGCTGCGCCAGGTGGTGTGACAGCAGCAATAGCAGATGCAGCTGCAGCTGCAGCACCAAGCGATGGTTCTGCAGCAAAACACAAACATCGTGCAGCAGCAGAACCAACTGCTGCTGGTAAGAAGCATAGGGCGTCTGCTGCACCTGGACACGAAGCAGCAGCAAGGCATCACGCTGACACAAAGACAGCAACAACGACAACAGCAGCAGCAGCAACACAAGCAGCAGAAGCAGCAGAAGAGAGTGCCAGCAGCAGCAAGTCTTGGTTACCGCCTCGTCCGATGTTAGTGGGGCAAAGAGGTCTTCCTCTACTGCGCCCTGAGAATACGATGTATGGTTCTGCTGCTGCTACGTCTGCTGTTGCTGCTGTTGTTGCTGTTGTTGCTGCTGCTGCTGTTGCTCCTGCACCGCTCGCTACTATGAAGGAAGGTAGGCTGCTGTGTCCTGCTGCTACAGAGAATCCTTTCGCGCTGCTCGTGCTGCTGGAGCTACAGCATTTGCTACTGATGTTCGTATTGCTGCCAGCCACACCCCATACTTATTTGTGAGCTGCTGCTGCTGCTGTTGTTGCTGCTGCAGCAACTGCTGCTACTGCTGCTGCTACTGTTGCTACTACTGCAGCTGCTGATCTGTTTCTGTTTATGTTGCTGCTGCTGTTGCTGCAGTGGCCAAGAACTTCCTATTCAAGTCTTGAAATCGTTCTTCTGACTGCTGCTGCTGTGGCTGCTGCTACTGCTGCTGCTGTTATTGTTGTTGCTGCTGTTGTTGCAGAGAGACAACACGTTTGCTCGAATGACGGATGCCTCTCGCGTATTCCCTGCTGCTGCGTCTGCCCCTGTTGACTTATTTGCATGGACAGACATTGCTGCCCTTAATCCAGGGGCCTGGTGGATCGAGGTAACTGTGCTTCTGCTGCAGTATATGCTGCTGCTGCTGCTGCTGCTGCTGCTGCTGCATGCGGTGCTTTTTGAGCCGTAACGGCTGCTGCAGCCTTGACAGGCTACAAGGCTGTAGCTGGAGAACGCATAGGGGGACAAATGAAGCTTCTGCTGCAGCTGATGGTGTAACTGCAGCAGCGTCTGCTGCACGCGATGCTACAGGGTCCCCGTTTGGCTGTGCTGCTGCTGCTCCTGCTGCTACTACTACTGCAGCGCGACATATACGGAACAGTTAGCAGCATTGACGTGAAGACTCGCGAAGCGATTGCAGAACAACGTACGTAACCGCAGTGCCCAGCAGCAGCAGCAGCACCACCAGCAACAGCAGCAGCAGCAACAGCACCGGCACCAGCACAAGCAGCAGCAGCAGCAGCCGCAGCAGAATGCGTTTCTTGTTGTTCTCAGGTATCGCCTTATTGGAGGATTTAATATCCATAGCTCTATGCGAAATGTCTCCTATATTAGTGTCTCCTTTTTGTCCCCTTTGTAGTCTTAATGCCTTTGATTGCGGAGACAGCTGTCCCTTGTTGCTGTTTAGTCTATTTAAAGATGCTAAAGCTGAAGAACTTCTATGGTGGACTGGCGGCATGCGGTAACTTTGTTGCTGCTCCTGCTGCTGTGCTGGAGCTGCTGCTGCTTCTGCTGCTGCGTATGGGCCTTTACGGTGCTGCTGCACCATCTGCTGGTGCTGCTGGTACTGCTGCTAATTTCTAGCATTTTGTACAGCTGGTTTTGGTGCTGCTGCTGCTGCTCGTCCTCCTGGTGCTGGTGCTGCTGCAGCACTTGCATTAGTGATGGCATCTGCTGCTCCTCTTGCAGCAGCAGCAGCAGCAGCAGCAGGGGGAAGGAAAGTCATTGCATGCAAGGTGTGGGGTTGTCTGCAGAGAGGAATTGCGTCGTTCCCTTCCAGGGGCAAAACTTGTCACACAAATCGATCCCAGCTTCCAAGACGATCCCACAAAACGTAAATAGTGCTGCTGCTGCTGCTGCTGCTGCTGCTGCTGGTGTTGGTGAGGCTGCTGCGGCTGTTAATCCTGTTGGAATTCCCCTTTAAGGCCGTTGGTGCTGATAGAATGGTTGTTGTTGCTGCTCCTGCTGCTGCTGTTGCTGCTGCTGTTGCTGCTGCTGCAGTAACTGATATCGTAAGTGCTCCGTGGACAGACTTAGAGGCGTCACGGGTAAAAAGCCTCGCAGATAAGGGTAAGCAGCAGCAACTACAGCAGCAGCAGCAACAGCAGCAGCAGTCACTGCAGCAGCTGCTATAGGAGACCGTGTGGTGCTGTCTACGAAGCATCATTAGGAGCAGCAAGATAAGCAGCAGGTGTCTCTGCTGTCTTTAGTATCTCCGTACACAGATATCGCCCCTCTCTCTATTCTGCTGCTGCTGCTGCTGCCGCCGCCGCCGCCGCCGCTGCTGCTGCTGCTGCAGGATACCATGTGCATTGCTCTGGTGCTGCTTCCCCTTGGCAGTTTTCTTATTTATGGTGCAGCGGGGTACATTCAGTAAGCAGCGAAGATGTGGGGCCCCTAGCAGCAATAGAGGGGCCTCTCTATGCTATACAGTGGAGACATTATATCAGTAAGGAGACACCTCAATCCTTTTATACCCCTCGTGCTGCTGCTGCTAATCCTATTGCTGCTGCTGCTGATGCTGCTGATAGTACTGGTGCTGATGATGATGGTGCTGGGGCTAGTACTGCTGCTGCTGATGATGATGCTGGGGCTAGTACTGCTGCTGCTGCTCCTGCTGCTGCTCCTGCTGCTGCTACTGCAGCAGCACTTTCTGCTAGGTATCCCTTCGCGTCTCTGCTGCTCCTTATAGGGCTTTTTGCTGTCTCTTCCTGTTTGTCTCCAAGCCAGTGGTTGTTTGTGTCTCCTCGCTAGAGGAGTTCTGCTGTAGATTCTGCTGCTGCTGCAGCTGATGCTGCTGCTGTTGCACCTCTTCCAGCTGCGGCTGACTGCTGCTGTAGGTACTGACACGCTGCTGCTGCTGCTAGGGATACTGAATCCTTGATGTTGCTGGTACTTCTACTGCTTGTGCTGCTGCTGCTGCAGTCCTAGTAGCTAGTCTGGACCTCGCTGCGGTAATATGTGTGTTGGGGTTTGTGGGGTTGCTGCTGTGGAAGCGGTGGACAAGCCCTCAAATAGCTCTGAATTAGGTTGCTGCAGCAGCAGCAGCAGTAGCAGCAGCAGCAGCAGCAGGAGCAGCAGCTGCCGCTGCTCCTGCTGCGTGGTGCTGACAGTCTTCGTGCAAGTGCATGCAGAGGGGTATAAGGCGCCCCACACCTCCTAGTAGCCTCTAGAGTCGCAAGTATTGAAACTGCTGCTGCTGCAGCAACAGCAGCAGTAATAGCAGCAGCCGCAGCAGCAGCGGCGCTAGCATCAACAGCAGCAACCTGTTGAGCGCTGCAGGAACTTTTAAATACCTAGGGTTTCTTTCTGAGGCTTATATAAGAATAATAATAATACGCCATTCCCTATTGGGGTGTATATACAGCTAATAGGAGTAGCCATCTGCTGCATGCATAGCACTGCTATTTGTCTGTATTTATTGCTAATTCGCTCGTTTCTATAAACACTTACAAGCCCTAAATATACTTTGAAGCTCCCGAGGGTTTAGGGTTTAGGGTTTAGTGTTTAGTGGGGTTAGAATAAGCCTCGGCTTTGTATAGTTAGGCTGTAGGGAGAGGTAGCAGCAAATAGTGTTTAGGGTTTAGGGTTTAGGGTTTTGAGTTGATGAATTTAAACTAAATATATATATTCAAAGTCTAGGGTCTAGGGTTTAGTGTTTAGCGTTTAGGGTCTAGTGTTTAGGGTTTAGCCACAGCAGCGAGGCCTCCGAGACGCACAGGAGTCGTCTGTCCTTGTGGTTACTAGGGTTTAGGGTTTAGGGTTTAGGGTTTAGTGATTAGGGTTTTGTGTAATTGTATGAAAATTTGAATCTAGAAGCAGCAGACAACACAATTTCCTTCTTGCTGCCTTCGCTGCTGCTGCTGGAGGGGCCCCGTCTATGTAGTGTGTAGCAGCAGCAGCAGCGGCAGCAGCGGGAGCGGCGGCAGCAGCAGCAGCAGCAGCAAAACCTAACAGCTAGTTAACTATGTAAGTTTGAAGTATTAAACGCCAAGACTCAACAATTAGGGTTTAGGGGCTTGCTGTTTAGGGTTTAGGGTTTAGGGTTTAGGGTTTGGGTCACCTTCCCCCGAACAACCCCGATCCCTGCCCGCTGCAGCAGCAGTAGCAGCAGCAGCAATAGCAGCAATAGCAGCAGCATGACCTCTTTGTTTTGAATCCCTAACAGCAACACACATATTTGCTGCGGAGGCCTGTGCAGCAGCAGCAGCAACAACAACAACAACAGCAACAACACCACCAGCTACGGCAGCGGCAACAAAGACAGCAGCGGCAGAAGCAGCAGCAGCAGCAAAAGGCAGCAGCAGCAGCAGCAGCAGCACAAACAGCAGCAACAAAGTGTATGGGCAGCAACAAAATAACACCTCAAATAATACAAGACACAGACACGGCGCGTTGCTTGCTGCCGCAGCAACCGCAGCAGCAGCAAGCGCAGCAACAATAAGAGCAGCAGCAGCAGCAGCAGCAATGATGCGAGCAAGGAGCTGCATCATGCTGCCAGCAGCTTTGCTGCTGCTGCTGCTGCTGCTGCTGCCAGACAGGTCCTTGTCCAAGACCGTGGGGCGACGCTTCTGGGTAATGCACATTGAACATTGTTGCTGCTGCTGTTGCTGCTGCTGTTGCTGTTGCTGCTGTTGTTGCTGCTGCTCCTGCCAGTATATTAGGTTTAGTTTTTGCTGCAGTTGGAAGCTACTTACTCCCTACACTAATCGAGAGCCAGCGGAGTGTACAGCCACCACAGCGAGCTGTTGCTGCTGCTGCTATTGCTGCTGCTGCTGCTATTGCTGCTGCTGCTGCTGCAGGTGGCATCGGGGCCAGTTAGCATCGGGGGCGAGAAAGGACTTCAGTCTGTTTCTGTTGGAGCAACTGTAAGTTGAATACCCTAGCTGCTCACCTGCTGCTGCTGCTGCTGCTGCTGCTGCTACAGCTGATGTTGCTGCTGTTGCTGTAGAGGATGCTGTTAGCGCTGCTGCTGCTGCTGCTGCTGCTGTGTATGTACACCTGCAGGTCCCGATAAATCTTCCTCATGGCGCTTCTGCCTTTGCTCAAGTCCGAGCAGACCTCCCCGTGGGTCCTCAAGAGCAGCAGCAGCAGGAGCAGCAGCTGCAGCAGAAGCAGCAGTACAGGCAGCTGCTGCCTCATCAGAAGCAGCTGCATCTGCAGCAGAAGCCTCAGCAGCAGCAGCAGCAGCAGAAGCCGTATCAGCAAGAGCGTGCTGCAGTGCAGCACAAGGAGGGCAGGAGGCGTCTGCTGCCGCTGCTTGCTCGTCGTAAGGATGATTTGCTGCTGCTGCAGCATCGTGTGCAGCAGCAGCTACAGCAGCAACTGCAGCAACTGCAGCAAGGTATACTTGGATATGAGGTACTTTTAGGTGTACAGACACCCCAACTTATTAACAATACAACTCTTAGATTACTTGCATGCATTAATAACGATAAATCTAGATATATACTATCAGGTACGCTGCTGCTGCTGCTGCTGCTGCTATTGCTGCTGCTCCTACTATTGCTGCTAGTGCTGCTATTGCTGCTGAGTGCAATACACGCTGCTGCTGCTGCTGCTGTGGTTGTTGTTCCCCTGCTGTTCGTTGCCATGTGTGCCCTCAATTCAGTTTGTGCTATTGCTGCAATTGCTGCTGCTGCTGCTGCTGCTGCTGCTGCTATAATTGTGGTGTATATACAGCTTCCCGTGGCAGCAGCGAGTTATGTATAACAGGAGAAGAATTAAAAATAATAAATTTATTAATTAAATCTTCTATTAATAAATATAATAATAAATTTATTATAGAGACAGCACAAGACTTTAATAAAGGTACACAATTGCTGCTGCTGCTGCTGCTGCTGCTGCTGCTGTTGCTGCTGCTGCTGATGTTGGTGTTGCTGTTGCTGCTGTTGGTGGTGGTGAGGTCAGAAATGGGCAGCGAAGGAGAGGCGGTCTTGCTGCTGCTGCTGCTGCAGCAATTAATATTGTTGCTGCTGCTGTTTCTGTTTCTTGCTGCTGCTGCTGCTGCTGCAGGGGAAGCAACAGTTCGTGTTGCTGCTGCTGGATTAAAGCATGCAGGGAAGTGTCCCCTGTCTCCTTTTGTATTAGGGATAGAGGGGACAGTTGTTGGTCCCCTGCGCCTGCCTATTTACCGTAGGCAAATAAGGGAAGGTGCAGCAGCAGCAGCAGCAGATCCTGCTGCTGCAGCAGCAGCTGAAGCAACCAGCGTTGCTTCTTCCCCTGCTGCTGCTAACAGAGACAACTTACAAGGAAACAGCAACAGCAGCAGCAGCAGCAGCAGCAGCAGCAGCAGCAGCCATGATGCTGCTATTGGTGTCTCCTTTGGATTTGGAGGAAGGAGACAATTCCTAATACAACCTAAATTCTACCTAAGAGACAGGTAAACTGCAGCAGCAGCAGCAGCAGCAGCAGCAACAGCAACAGCAGCAGCAGCAGCAGCAACAGCAGGAAAATAGAGTATATATATGTGTCTCCCTTTATGTATATAGGGATAAGGAGACACGCTGTATATATAATATACATGTATTAATATGTATTTATTTATTTTATTTATTTATTTTATTTATTTATCTATTTTATTTATTTATTTATTTATTTTATTTATTTATTTATTTATTTATTTATTATTTATTTATTTATTTATTTATTTATTTATGCAGGAGTATATCTATAGGTGTATGTTATACAACAGAAGAAAAGAAGAAAATAAATATTCTTTTTTTTCCTTATAATCAGCTGTCTGTACACCTGACGGATGCAGCAGCAGATGGAGGGAATTGGGTATTTGCTGCTCATTTACCTCTGCAGCAGCAAAGTACTGCTGCTGCTGCTGCTGGCGGTCCTAATGCTGCTACTAATGATTGCAGCAGCAGCAGCAGCAGCAACAGCAGCAGCAGCAGCAGCAGCAGCAAGTGGCCCTCCTTCTCTCTACGCAGGGAGAGTCACTTCTAGCTGTAATCTATACATACACCCAAAACCCTTTTTCTGCTGCTGCTGCTGCTGCTGCAGCAGCAGCAGCAGGAAACCTGCTTGCTTGCATAAATGGGGGCACCAAATGCTGTATTTGCTGCTGTTGCTGTTGCTGCTGCTGCTGCTGCTGCTGCTGCACTAGCATTAACAGAGAGCAGCATAACACTAGAGAGATGCTGCATGAGCTGCTGATGTTCGTAACCCTAAACCCTAAACCCTAAACCCTAGGTCTAAACCTCCAACCCCTAAACCCTAGGACTAACACCATAAACCCTAGCAATAAAACCCTAAACCCTAAATATAACCCTAGCAGCCCTCATAGGCAATCGTGTAAACCCTTATCCCTCCCGTAAACCCTAGGACGTATAAACCCTAAACCCTAAACCCTTGTCCAAACCCTAAACCCTAAACCCTTGTCTAAACCCTAAACCCTTCACTAGATGTCTTCTATATACGCTTCTTCCCTTCCCTCCCGTAAACCCTAAACCCTAATTCGCTGCCTATACACCTGAATAACTGTACTAAACCCTTATAAACCCTAATAAGGAATAAGACAACAAAAAGGAGAGAAGAATGGCATCTAAAGAAAGAAGTACAGTCTCTTCATCGTCGGTATGCTGCAGCGCAGCAGCAGCAGCAGCAGCTGCAACAGCAGCAGCAAATGCTGCTGCAACAGAGGGCTATCCCACTGCTGCTGCTGCTGCTGCTGCAACAGCAGCAGGAAGCTTTATCTTAACATATTTAATTACTCTCCCTATCTGCTGCATCACCATCTCCTTCTGCTGCTGCTGTTGTATTTACTGCTGCTGCTGCTGCTACTTTCTCCTTCCTGCTGCTGCATGCATGCATTATAAATATCTCCCCTTCCTGCTACCGCCAGATCACCGCGTAACCTGCTGCTGCTGCAGCATAATATTATGGAGCAGCAGCAGCAGCATTAAGCAGCAGCAATTATATAAATAATATATATTTATATTAATTTATTTATCTTAATCTTCTTGCTTCTCTTTCTGTCTCTAATAAGGCTAATATATCTCCCTCTCTTACTGGACCCTTAACATTACGTATAAGAGTTCTCCCCTGTAGGTCGGACTCCTCCGTCATAAAAGTAACG